GACCAACTTTAGTTTCTCTAAAGCGTGGTCGGTGTTGTCAGCACTCACCACTACTGCAGTGTCGTCAGCGTACATAAACGTAATTCCATTGTCAATGAATTGATGTAAGTCATTTATATACAGGAGAAAAAGTATCGGACCAAGGTTGCTGCCTTGGGGGGTTCCTGTAGTGGTAGTGTATTCTGTGGATATCGCGTTATTGTATCTAACACGATAATTCCTATTAGATAGAAACGATAGGAGAAAATCGTGAGTCTCATTCCTGATTCCTACATCCATTAGTTTTTGTGACATTATATCAAAATTAATACTGTCGAATGCCTTTTTAATGTCAAAATAAGCTACGAAACAGGCTTTATTTAAGTCGATTTCGTTAGTTATATGTTGCACTAGTTCTATTGTAGCTTCGGTAGACAACGTTGGGCGAAATCCGAACTGCCTTAAAGACAATATTTTAAATTTTTCGAGAAATGTAATTATTCTATTATAAATGCATTTTTCAAGAATTTTAGAAAAACCACTTGAAGCGAAATAGGTCTGTAATTGGAAACTTCAGAAAGATTGCCTTTTTTATGGATTGGCACAACACATGAGGATTTCAAGGCGTCAGGAAAGACGCCGTTAGTGACGCAGTGATTAATGATGTTTGATAAATCCGAGGAAATTGAAGTGGAGCTGGATTTTAGTAGGGTATTGGGAATTTCGTCAAGTCCTGGAGAGCTATGGCTTTTTAGGGAATGGATAACGTCTAAAACTTCACTTGGAGTACATGGATAGAAAAAGAACGACGATTTTGCCAAAGGAGACGAAAAACACTTCTTAGGAGTGGTGCAAACTCTGGAGCGTGGCAGTATAGACTGGTAGTACACTGCGAACTCATTTACATCGATTTCACTGCATTGTGACCTATTGGATGTGGAAGACTTTGTGTTTATAAGATTCCAAAAAACTTTAGGGTTATTTTTTGACGAATCAATAATCTTAGTGTAAAATTTTTGTTTCTCTGCAATTATTTCCTTAGACAGCGATCTATATATGTTTTTAACCAGTAAATTGAGATCAACATTTTTTGTAACTTTACTTATTATTGCTTATTATTGCAAGGGTTTTGTAAAAATTATATAAAAAGCACATAGATGTGTCACATTCCGTAGATGATTTTTTAAATTATCGTAACCACAAACGACAAGTAAATTATCTATTTAAAAAGGTCGTTTTCAGTTACATTAGGAACGTAGGTAACAAGCAAATTGTTGAAGTGTTGAAAAGGATCCCTCAAAGTGCTCATCATATATAGTCCTAAGAATATATTGCTTGTAAATATTTGTACCAGAGTGTGTAAAGAAAGACAACAGGAAGCAAAACCAATTAAAGTATCCTCCTTGATTTAACGATGACATAATTACAGTGACAAAGAATCATTCGAAATAGCATGGTGGGAATTCAAACGAATGATTAATATTAAAGTATTTGAATACTAAATACTTTTACGTCCGGCACAAGCGAATACTAGATACAGATACATTGAAAAGTATTCAAATACTTAAAAAAATAAGTATTCAAATACTTTAGAATGTATTCGAATACTTTCAAAAGTATTCGAATACTATAAAAAGTATTCGAATACTTTGAAAAGTATTTCATTAACTTACTTAGAAAAGTATTCGAATACCTACAGTAAAAAGTATTCAAATACTTGTCACTCAAATACATTAAAAATTTAAAATAGTACCTATACTAGATAAAAGGCTTAATACTACTTAAAAAATCAAGTTATACTTTGAATGGGGTTAGCTTTTTTTATATTTCTATTGTTATATAATGTCACACAGTAGAAAATCAATGATTGAATTTCTACTGTGTGACAGTATATAACAATAGAAATATAAAAAAAACTAACCCCATTCAAAGTATAACTTGATTTTTTAAGTCGTGACAATACAAATTTAAGGGGAGTAAAAGCGTATTATTATTATTATATTATTATATAGGAGGTACCTACCAGGCCCTTTCTTATACCAGTTATATCCTTAAGAATACGTGTACCAGTTTTTAAAGCGATCGTACGTCGTGCACATGATACGTACGCCTTTCTGAAATTAATCCTAGCGATTTTGGAACAGATCCATTTTTGACCATCCGTTTGTCCGTGTGCATAATAACTTGTTTAGAAACGTGCGATCGCTTTGAAAATTGGTACACATGGTCTTAAGGATATAAGAAAGGTCCCTATTGTTTTTAAGTTACGTAGACTATCGAGTCAAAAGGGATCGTTCGGTATTCAGTTGTATCGGATTTTTATATTTGATTTTGTGAGAATGGAAACTTTCCCTAAACATTTCTAAATTGTTCTCAAATATTTGAATAACTTCAAAGTTCTGCCTTTTTTTGAGGCCGGAAAAAAAATTGTCTGAGATCGATCGAGAAAAAACATTTTCTTATAGAATTTAGCCCGTAGAATCCATAATTTCAAACAGTTTGAAGATTGGGCTACTAGATCAAAAGTTACAGCCCTTTGAATTTTTTTTCGAAATTTGTTTTTGGTCCATAACTTTATATTGAGAGGTCTAATCGAAAAAGTACGATTGTTTTGGATTCTACGCACCAACATTAATAAGAAAAAGTGTTTTCCCGAGAAATTTTGGTGCAGTTGATTTTTGGTAAAAAAGGAAGGACTGCCTTTTTTTGAACCCCGAAAAAAAAATTGTCGCAGATCGACCCGGAAAAAAAATTTTCTTATAGAATGTGGCCTGTAGAATCCCTAATTTGAAACAGTTACAAGATTGGGCTACTAGTTTAAAAGTTACAGCCCTTTTAATTTTCTTTCGAAATTGGTCTACAACTTTTGATCGAAAAAGTACGAATTGTTTTGGATTCTACGCACCAAAATTAATAAGAAGAAGTGTTTTCCCGAGAAATTTTGGTGCAGTCCATTTTTGGTAAAAAAGGAAGGTTGTACACTGCCTTTTTTTGAGGCCCTCAAAAAAAATTGTCTCAGATCGACCCGGAAAAAAATTTTCTTATAGAATGTGGCCTGTAGAATCCATACTTTCAAACAGTTCCAAGATTGGGCTACTAGTTCAAAAGTTACAGCCCTTTGAATTTTCTTTCGAAATTGGTTTCTAGTCTATAACTTCTTATTGAGAGGGCTAATCGAAAAAGTACGAATCGTTTTGGATTCTACGTACCAATTAAAATTAGTAAGAAAAAGTGTTTTCTCCAGAAATTTTGCAGGAGTCGATTTTTGATAAAAAGGGAAGGGAATACTATGCGAAGTATTCGAGTACTTCTCAAAGTATTCAAATACCTTACGAAGTATCCAAATACTTTGCGAAGTATTCGAATACTAAATATTTGTGAAAGTATTTGAGTTACTACAAATACTGCTTCCATAAAAGTATTTAATTACAAAGTATTTGAATACTTTAAAGGATTTGAATACTAAAAAGTATTTACAAAATCGAATACTGCCCAGCTCTGAAAGGAAGGAACTAGAAGTTGCAAAATGTTTACATCTAATTACGTAGGTATTGCGGAAATTATATAATGCGTTTATGGACTTAAGTTAATGTAGTGTGCGGTGTGTTGGTCTCCAGCTAAAGTCTGCACCTACATGAAAATGATTGAATATGTAGGTACACAAACGTTTATTTAAGTGCCTTTACTTTAAACAATTTAGCGTTTATCCGATTCAAGGAATCAACCAGGATACACATTTCAAATATGCACCATATCGCATTTTTATACAATTTGTTTAAATTTTAAAGCCATTAACGTTACGTACGGCATTTTATTAAATTTAAAATGATGTAAATAAGTAATAGAGAGTTTCTATGATATGAAAATATGAATTTAGTTAAATTCATTCCTTCCCCGCGTAAACAATCAAATCTTGGGAACATTAAACAATTGTAAATGAACAAAAAATGATGAAACGGTAATGAAGTATACAGCTGAAGTGTATGTGTTTTGTAAATTTGTTATCTTGTACTGCCTAAATGTAACATTATAAAGCAAAACTACGGTTGACACCAAATTTCATAAAATGAATGGGTATGACATCTGTCGTAAATCTAGGAGACTGCATTGGATCATGTTCGTACAGGAGTCGCCGTCCCATGATAAAAAACTGCACCTAACGGTAAACATATAATTTCCTGTACTGATTCGATTCCGCAAACTAACGTTAGATGTCATAACCATATATTTTTTAAAATTTCAGAGCCCGCCATAAAAAAAACAGATTGCTTATAATTTTGCTACATTTAGGCAGTAGAATTAAAAAAATTACAAAACACATGAACTTTAGCGTTTATGGTTGGTTGCTGTGTACTTTATTAACTTTTCATGTACCCAACGTTGCTGTGTTTACGCGCGGAAAAACTGAATGCTTAATACATATTTTCGTATTATAAAACCTCTCTTTTACTTATTTGAATCATTTGAAATTTAATGAAATGCCGTACGTAGAGTGAATGACTTGAAAATTTGAATATGTGCTTTAAAAACCTATAAAAATGTGATATGGTGCACGTTTGGAATGTGTAATTTGCGATTCATTTGCGATAAGTATTTAAACATGGCTGGAAGTTCGCAAAGTAAAATATTAATTCAGAATAAAAAATGTCATTCTGGTTCACCTTATAAATGTATCTGGCCAAAGTCATATGCAAATGGAATTGAATTGAAAGCACTTCATTCCTTAAGCTTAATTCATGTGTAATTAAGCAATTGACTCCTTACTTGAAGCTCAATCTGCAGTCGTTAAAACATTCAGAAGAAGTTGCGGAGCACATACTCTTCCTTCACGCCTTCAGTTGGTGCGACACAACCTCAGCATTTTTTAAGCAGTAAAACCAGCATAGATTCTTCCATTTAGTGGCCTCCCTCCCACTAACTATTAAAAACTGTAAAGACTGTTGATAGCTAGTAGGATAGTGCATTAAATAATAGTTTATAGAGAATCTTTTTAATTTGGTTAAACTTTAAAAATATGACACTTTGCAGCGAAACAATAGCTAAACTTAAATTTGACATATATACATAGATTTTCATTAAACTATATACAATATATTTATATATTATATTCCAAAATAAAGATCTTAGAAGAATGACACAAGATGTTCTGATTCGTTGTTGACTAATGGGTGTATGGAATAAATAAATAAATTAGTGTCGCAAATTAACATACTGAAACAAGTTGATTACAAATTTATCCGCTATTATTGCTGTAAGACTCAGTTCTGGTTAAATTTACATTTTGGAAATGTTAACTTACAGAATAGACTGAGAGATTTGACCATTCAAACATATTTATTCAGTTTTTCAAATTAACAAAAATGCTATCATAATCAACAAGTAACAATAGTGTACCCCATGCATTATCAAATTAAGAATTGAACCAACAAATTAAAAAACATATTTTTAGTAACAAATAAAAACGCATTTGAGATAATAGTTAACAAATCCAGTTACGATAATTTTTATTACATTTCAATTACTTAAAAATTACTATTTACAAATAAATAAAATTATTCATTATAATCCCACCATTCTTTTTCATACCCTTCATGTACATGTTCTAAAAGAACTTTCCTTCGGCTTTCGCAGTATCTGTAAAAATAACAAATTAGTGAATACCCACCTACACAATTGTTTCGTAATAAATCATGACAGAACCATTCAATTATGACTTTATAGGTTGTTTGAAAGTTCCTTGGGTAAGAAGGAATCGAGTACCCTGACAAACGGATTGAATTTCAGGGTATCATGTGTAACTGTATAGTACTGTATCAGACAGTCACATGTTCGGACTACGAGGTCCCCATGTAGGATGAGCGTGAAAATGTTTGTTAACGGAAACAGGTCTGTTTATCAGAAATTGGTTGGTTGAGCCGAACCTAATTCTGTTAAACAGATCTTATTTTAAGGAAGAGACCTGTTTCCGTGGACAAACATTTTCATTTTTTTTTATTTGCCTTTATTTTTGGGTGGGCGGGGTTTCAGCCAAGGCTGCTCTACCAACCCAATCCACTATACATTTACAAATATCCATGCCTGAACCCGGATTCGAACCAAGAACCCTTAGCACCACAGTTTAGCTTTAACTGAACTGCGCCACACGAGCCGGCAAGAAGAAAGAAAAAAGAAAAGAATAAAGATAGTTTTATGTCCTTCCATTTCCACCCCAACCTCAACAAAATCTACCTACCTATATTTATCTTGAACTTTTTGTTTAATATCGGCTAAATTTTCAGAGGTGATATCTCGTTCTAAATATTCTGAAAGGAATTCTGTTGCACCCTCGAGGTCCTTTTGGTTATCTTCAAAAATCACAGATTGATTGTTTTTTTGCAAGTAGTATGCAAACACATAAGTATACATTAAAGTTTGTCTACACTGACACAAAATATCAACAGCCTTTTTAAGAAATTGTACTTCTATCCAACTCATATTATGTTGTTGCATTTCTTCCATCTTGCCCTTTACTGAAGCATACAACTTATGCTCAAATTTTAGTGAAGCCATGTGATTCATGTATCGATTGCAATAAAACAAATAACGTTGCAAAGCAGATCTAGATTTTTCTTGAGCATCACGTGCTGCTTTCGCCTCTTCTTCATCGTAACGATTACAATTATACCACGAACTTCCATGAGGCTCCCACGGTCCCAAACATACCCAACAGAAATCCGCCTTACAATTTTGATTTTTACACACCATATGATTACAACCGCCATCTTTTTCGATCGTAACGTTACACCTCGGACATTCTTTGGTATTCGCGGCAATCCAGTTGCTGGTTTCCGAATCGTCGTCGCACTTCTTAATCCACTTCTTCAATAAGTGGCATTTGACAGGATCGTGCCAATTTTCGCCACACGAAAAGCAAAATGTATGGTTACATTTGCATGTAACATGATGAGGTTCTACGTATTGTACTTTAATGGCGTTGTTACAATCAGGAGAAGGACACCATCTTAGCAGACGATTGCACTGAAACAAAAGTAATTATGATTAATCAAGATATTGTAGTTGCAAATTCACGCCTAATAATAAAGCTTGCCTATCCAATCGCAAAGAATTAAATCACTCGTTTATGTTACCGGCGCAACTGTGAGGAAATAATAAAATCTGTCAAAGATATCATATTTATTGAAAGAAAAATGCTTTCTTTGTCTTTAGAATTAAAAAATTAATTTTTGGAATTTATGTTTTGTTAAACATAGGGAAATTTACACATGTACCGCTTCATAGCGAAACAGAATGAAAATATGTCTGACAACAAGCCATATCAAGAAACGTAGCGCGGTTGTCACGATCTCTTCGGGCCTAAATGTTTCGTTCCGTTGTGCGAAAATCCGAGCCCGTAACAGAAATGCGGGCTTCCCATTGGTTATCAGTAAAATAAACACGGCGTGATGTCAAAATCAACACGGCGTTTTCCACCACGCTGTGCAAAACAATCATCCCCGCCGTTGAACAGGGCTTTATAAGGCGACGCGCATGCGTTAGATTTCATTCTGCTGCGAGCTATCCTATAGTAAGCAGTACGGTCAAGCTGAGCTGTTCCATAGTGAGGTATTACAACAACAAAGCCGAGCTGTCCTATAATGTTTGTAACTTAGCAAAGGATTTCGACCGCAGCAACGAGGACGAGACACTGCCCGGTCAAGCACGATCACCAACAGAAGGAGACAGTACAATACATGCTGGTACCACTACAAATTTGGGAACAAAATAAGAAACTGTCAACTACCCTGCAAGAAGGAGTTGAAAAATTCCCAAGCCAATCGTAATGAGGCGGTACACACCTCGCCGATTGTACATCAACAAATTCCTGATCAATACAGGAGCCTAGACCTACGTTTTTCCACGCAGCCGGATAGGTAAGACCCAGCAAGCCTCAGACTACCAGAGTACACAGGTGTATGCAGCAAATGGAACTGTCATTAACACATGCGGCACAATAAACATGAACCTTGATTTAAATCTGGGCAGACACTTCCCATGGAGATGCAACATTGCAAACACTACAAAACCCATCGGATTTTTTAGCTCATTTTGGATTGTTGGTCGACATTAAAAACCAAAGAATCGTCAACACGCAGACGACCTAGCAAAACACGGTAGAAAAACAATTGGTAGAATTGAAAGCAATCCTGAAAGAATTTACACAGCTAAGAACGCCAGCAGGAATCATAGGAAACGCATGAACTGTACCTGATCGATACCCAGTTCCGCATATCCAGGACTTTTCACAAGAACTTGCAGGAAACACTGTCATGAGTCAACACTATTGAGGAAACTCGGAGAACTCATCGGTTTCGCTTACCACTCACAAGCCAACAGGATGATAGAACGCCTTCACAGGCAACTTAAAGCAGCTCTCAAGGCGATCCCAGGTAATCTGAGGATATTAAGCTCAGCTTATATTCCATGGATTTTGTTCATTATTACAATGTTTTCCTGTTTCAGAGTCCAAACTCTAGAATCAAAATTATGAAGAACACTGCTTTGTATTTGGGCGCTGGTTGTTCCACGTGTGAAGCTTAAAAGATGAATCAAAAAGGTCAGCCAAAGAATGTCGCCGCTGTGCGGAAACGGCGCAAATTGATTAGAGAGCGGCAACTATTAATAAATCAAATCGAACCAACCATATTCGAGGGGAGTATCAGTTGTGGAAGTAAGTAACCCCACAACCAAATTTAATTGCGCTCCTTCACCCCTTATTTTATTTGCAATCAAAGAAATGTTAGTGTGTCTTCGCACAAACAGATAACTTTGTATTTAAGTGTAAGTAGTACCATTGTTTCAATTACGACAATGAAGAAACTTGGGGGGAGGTACGTATAAAAGCATTCGACTGCTCAAAACACATTTATTTGAAATTGTAAACACCAAAATTTTATAACTGCTGAAATAAAGTCACCCCTTAATATGTGCAATTTGGGGAATTTATACTAAAACCTGGATAGCTGTCCATATAGTATATTCTCCCAAGAATGCAGTAATATTGCAAGTGTAAATGACGTACTTTGATCATATCGACATATTTTCAGATAACAAGTGAAGAATAAATAAATAGAACCTAACATAAACAAAAACATGATTCTATACTATATAAACCATAGCGACTTCCAAGTAATGTGCCTCCGATACGATTACAGACAAGAAATTAATTTACTTATCTATACAATTAACGCATTGTCGCGAATACAAGTTCCAAGTGCACTCAACATGGCAAGTGGGCATATTTTATCTCGTTTGTTTATCTAAACCAATTTTAGGAGATAGCGGTGTATTGCACTATAATGAAAAAGATGCCTCCGCTATTACAAAAAGCGAAGGATGCTTTGGGAGAATTAAGATACAGGGATGCTGCCTTGTACGCTCGAATGCACATTGAACATGGTGAGCAACTAGTCGGAGAAGATGAAATGTTTGTGTTTGAAGAGCCCTTCAAACAAAGAATCGATTCCTTGCGAATGTGGCGAAAAAATTTATCTGGTACTACTTCGATGGACGAAGAAAAAGTATACACTGAGGAATACAGGGGCTTCATAGATCGGGAAATCAAAAGAATAGCATCAGTTGTATTGGTAATAACTTTTTTATCCCAATCGTTTTCTCTTTTTTTTCTTATGTAAGTGCTGCTATCGATGCTCAGAGAGGCTCTCTCTTTAATTGGACAAACCAAACTCCTTTCAGCAATCTACGCTTACCTCACTCAACTATAGCATCTAACCGACTACTTAGAGACTAGATGTTGGTATTTATTAGTTTCTTTTAGCCCTAGTCAAAGTACAGGCTATTTTATATCTTTTGAAGTTCCAGTTGTGTAATATTTTACTAACATTTTAGCATCTGCTTGAAGTTCATCTAATACCACAAGCAATAGATAAAGAAGCCGCAGTCCAATTTCTTCGTATGCGCGCAGATTATTATCGATACGTATCCGAAGTGACGGATGACGTTTGTAAGTACCTATATATTATACTAAAAGTCAATACGCATAATAATTTTTTATTTGTTAGCCTTCCACTACAAGACGAAAGACGCATACGAATGTGCACGGCAATACGCGGAAAACGTACCACCTGATCATCCCGCAAGACTGGTAATCGCCTTAAATTACGCCATATTTTGCCATACAGTTCTGCACCAAAACAACGTTGCAATCTATATAGCCCAAAAGGTATACTTAATTTTTGGTTATTGCGATATATTTTTTTATTCGTACGCAGGCTTTGCAAGACGCTTTCAACTTGGAACCGACTATATTTACTCATAGCGGCAGGTTAGCTTTGAACTATCTAATCAACTTACTGAAAATGCTGACATCGCTGAAACCAAAAACTGTGACCTACTATACATGCAACATTTAATTTTAAACATGGGTTGATTCTTTATAGTTACTCAATCAATTTAAGTTATCAGTATTATATTACACTGTTTAATTTGTTCAATATTTAAGGTGTCAATCACTGAGAAACAAAAAGTAAACGTATATATACCTGTACCAAATCAACTTACCTCAGTCCATTCAGTACTACGGGAAGAAGCAAGTCAAATTGAGTACGAGGTCATACTGTGGATTTGAAATCAATGGTTCCGCCGAGGTTCTAAAAAAACTATAACCAAGAGATGGTTAGAATTTAACCGTCTCTGACATCTTGCGGTGAAATGCAAAGGAAAAGAAATTGTAATTTGAAGGCAGCCCTTGTGACAGACTGGGTATAAAACAAGAGGATTGAGGTTCGATTGAAGAAAAACTGAATAAAGAGAAATGTCCCGACGTGTGAATGACGCCATCATGTGCAACGGCTACTCTAACCCAAGAAAGAGATCTATGAGTGAATGAAGAAGAAGAATGGTCACCATTTTGTATATTTAATGTAATAAGTATGGCGACCAGCATAGTTTCTTTTGTAGTTTGTGCGCAACAAATTCACCCTGATGCTTTCTTAGCCTAGAAGCAACCATTCCACTGATATTTCAGTAAAATTCTCTTAACCGAAACCTTTAGGTGAAAACCTGTGTTACAAGGTATAATTTTGGTATGTTCCACCAACCACAACGGCTAATTTACTTACCAAGCCTGGTATCGCTTGGATACAGAGGATGTCTCTATCGCATCCGAAATCTTCCACATTTTGTTGCGACGCTATTTTGATCACGTGATTCTAAAATATAAATCAGCAACATTTGCATTTTTGTATAGTTCGGTAACGATTTAATTGGTTCAGTTCAAATCATAAACATCCTGTAGGTGACGTAGACATCTGGTCCATTATCGCGCTATTGCAATAAACAACAAATTATGGACAAAACAAAGAAACTGGGCAACCGAGGATGAAGTCTGATGGAGATATGAAATGTGTTTATTATCTTTTCCGTCGTGGGAATAGGTATCCACACTACTGATAACTTTGCCTGTCTTTGCACGTATTTACGCGTAGATTTTCCTCTAGTGTTTTTATGAATGGTAAATATTGAACTGTTTTATTTATTGTTTCATTGTTCAATGTATCAACGTACAATATACAGTATGTCCCGAGATGAGTTCTACTATATACCTATAATTGACCTTTATTTTCATTCCTCGAATAAGTCAGCCCGCTTGTTCAAAAACTTCAAATATGCCATTTAGTTTTCTTCTAAAATGCAGGGTTACCCAAATAAATCGAAAAACCTGCCAACAACATTTTGACAGATAAAATCAAGTAAGCACGGTCCCATAGCACTTCTGCTTTAAACTCAACATATATTCCGCCTTGATACCAGAGAGAACCAATCAGACACTAGCATAATCTCCAACTTTCTCTTCAGTGCTAAAATATTGTAATTTGATTTGGTCACTATCCTTCCAATATACATATTTGATATTAATAGAATGCATTCAGAGAAGATGTTTAAAATTCCTGAGACGTAAAGTGGATGGAGAAGGAACTTCCTTCTTTAAGGAAGTGCTGTCAAAATCTGTTAATGGCTTGATTCGATATATGATCACGATCATCCGTGGAATAATGAACTCTATGTGCTTTTATAGGATGCGTTCTGTGAAATCTTGAGATTTCTTCGTTACTGGGCCAAAGCTTATTTTCAAATTACAAGTTAAGTCAATGTTCAAAAGTGTAAGATTTTCGCAAAATCAGCAAGAACATTATCAACACTTTAGTCGATAGCTCCATTCTTCTGTTTGATGTGGTAGCAAAGAAAAAAAGTACCTCCTAAACTATCCCTTTGGGTCCTACATACATGTTTATAAATTAGTAGTATAGTAAAGTCTCGATCATACGAGGTAATTGGGTTCAAATGGTGGCTACCTTTAATCCAACTTGGTACTTACTCGCGTACACGCAATTAAACTCTACAATATCAAAAATACTGGTATTGTCAAAATTATACCAAACACTCTAATAGTAGGTGCTAGCTACAATAAGTAAGAAACGACTGTCACTCGACTTACCTCAACAAAACTATTTGTAATTAAATGCTGATATTTTAATTTCACTTTGGCGTCCTTAACTAATCGCATCACACTGGCATCGTCCACTAAGATATCGCAGCCATGAGCGGCGCAAGCAATAGTCTGCCCGACACCTTCCTCCATAATTTTGGTCGTTAAATACTCCCCCCAACAATGACTGCAAAACCGATGACCACACTCCAATCCTGTCATGTGCTGAAATCACCAAATTTGTTAAAATTAATTTTTTTTTTACAATCATTGTGCAGAAACAGCAGCAGTATTCAACACTAGCAAAAAATGTAACCGGAAGATTTGTAAAATGTATATTTCGTATTCCCAAATACATATTCCAATCTGTGTATTACATTATTCTTAACGTTTACATTCTTGCCAAAATATTCGCTTTAAATATTTATTATATCAAATAATCAAATTCCTCAGTTTTACTCTTGATATGTCAGGTGACCAGTTTATGAATAATAATTTAAATTTTGTAGTTGTCTGGAATAGAACAACCCAATGCAATGATTATTTATCAATCTTACTTGATCCATCTGCCTTTATTCTACCTGTAGAGAAGTTCAAATGCAAAAAAACCATTTCTGGTTAAGTTTCAGTCAATAACATTGCTAAAATGGGGAAAGAGGAATTATAAAAAGAAACGATTAATTTGGGCTCGACAACATCACTGTTGAAGACTGGAAAAAAATTTTTGGAGCGAATATAAAACACCATTAATTTAGTATATAGCAATAAAAAATTAAAAAAAATGTTAGTGGTTGAATACTTTTGAGCGGTAGTGTATACTTTTCTGGCCATTTAAACAGTGGCTTGTCGACCCTGTGAACAAAATCAAACAAGGAAACAAAAATATTTGATATACCACAAAAATTACAGTCCTCACAATAAACGAATTATTACATAAAAGTCGATTTTATTTTTAAAAAAATATTTTTTTTATGAGGAGGGACTACGCTATTCTGTGCATTTAAAGGGTGGCTTGTGACCCCTGCAAACAAAATCAAACAACGAAACAAAAATATTTGAAGTACCACAAAAATTACAACTCTCACAATATACGGATTGTTATGTAACGTTACATTTTAATAAACAAAATTGTAATTTTTGAAATGGGGAGGAACGTTATTAAATGGTGGCTTGTTGGCCCTGTAAAGCAAATCAAACAAGGTAACAAAAATATTTAAAGTACCAAAAAATTACAGCACTCACATTAAAGGTGTTGTTATGTAAAAGGCTATTTTTTTTTTTAAATTGTAAATTTTGAAATGGGGAAGGACTGTACTTTTCTGACAATTTAAATGGTCGCTTGCGGGCCTGTAAACAAAATCAAAGAAACAAAAATATTTGAAGTACCACAAAAATTATAGTTCTCACAATAAACGAATTGTTACGTAAAAGTTGATTTTATTTTAAAAAATTGTAAGTTTTGAAATGGGGAGGGACTTTACTCTTTGGGGCATTTAAATGGCGGCTTGTGGGCCCTGTAAACACAATCAAACAAAGAAACAAAAATATTTACATTACCACAAAAATTACAGCCATCACAATAAACAGATTGTTACATAAAAGTAGATTTTATTTAAAAAAATTATAATTTTGGAAATGGGGAGGGACTTTACTTTTCTGGGCATTTAAATGGTGGCTTGTCGGCCCTGTAAACAAAATCAAACAAAGAAACAAAAATATTTGAAGTACCACAAAAATTACAGTTCTCACAATAAACGAATTGTTATGTAAAAGTCAATTTTATTTTAAAAAAATTGTAAGTTTTGAAATGGGGAGGGACTTTACTTTTTTTACATTTAAATGGTGGCTTGTGGGCCCCGTATACAAAATTAAACAAGGAAACAAAAATATTTGAAGCACCACAAAAATTAAAGTTCTCATAATAAACGAATTGTTACGTAAAAGTTGATTTTATTTTAAAAAATTGTAAGTTTTGAAATGGGGAGGGACTTTACTCTTTGGGGCATTTAAATGGTGGCTTGTGGGCCCTGTAAACAAAATTAAACAAAGAAAGAAAAATATTTGAAGCACCACAAAAATTACAGCTGTCACAATATACAGATTGTTATGTAACATTACATTTACCTAAAAAAATTGTAATTTTGGATACAGAGAGGGACTACACTTTTCTGTACATTTAAAGAGTGGCTTGTGGGCCCTGTAAACAAAATTAAACAAAGAAACAAAAATATTTGAAGTAACACAAAAGTTACAGTTCTCACAATAAACGAATTGTTACATAAAAGTCGATTTTATTTTTAAAAATTGTAAGTTTTGAAATGGGGAGGGACTCTACTTTTTGGGGCATTTAAATGGTGGGGTGTGTGCCCTGTAAACAAAATTAAACAAAGAAACAAAAATATTTGAAGTACCACAAAAATTAAAGTTCTCACAATAAACGAATTGTTACGTAAAAGTTGATTTTATTTTAAAAAATTTGTAAGTTTTGAAATGGGGAGGGACTTTACCTTTTGGGACATTTAAATGGTAGCTTGTGGGCCCTGTATACAAAATTACATAAGGAAAAAAAAATATTTCAAGTACCACAAAAATTACAGTTCTCAGAATAAACGAATTGTTACGTAAAAGTTGATTTTATTTTAAAAAATTGTAAGTTTTGAAATTGGTAGGGACTTTACTCTTTGGGGCATTTAAATGGTGGCTTGTGGGCCCTGTAAACAAAATTAAACAAAGAAGTACCACAAAAATTGCAGCAGGCACAATAAAGGGGTTGTTAAGTAGACATTTTCTTAAAAAAAATGTAATTTTTAAAATGGGGAGGGACTACACATTTCTGTGCATTTAAAGGGTGGCTTATGGGCCCTGTAAACAAAATCAAACAACGAAACAAGAATATTAGAAATGGCACAAAAATTACAGCTCTCACAATAAACGGATTGTTATGTAACATTACATATTCTTAAAAAATTGTAATTTATGATAAGGGGAGAGACTACACTGTTATGTGCATGTAAAGGGTGGTTTGTGGCCCCTGTAAACAAAAACAAAGATAATTGAAGTAGCACAAAAATTACAGCACTGACAATAAAGGGGTTGTTATGTAATTAAAAGGACATTTTCTTAAAAAAATTGTTATTTTTGAACTGGAGAGGGACTATAGGTACTTTTCTGTGCATTTAAACGGTGGTTTGTGGACCCTGTAAACAAAATTAAACAAAGAAACAAAAATATTTGAAGTACCACAAAAATTACAGCCCTCACAGTTCATTAAATATGTAGCTCAAAAATAATCAAACATCTTCAAAAGTATTTGGGCACAAAAAACAATAAACAATTAATTATAGGTTAATAATTTTATAGATAGATAAGATTTGCAGTTATTTTGGAAAACTTTGTGGTCTTCACTCCTGCTACTTCTTTCATCCTGGTTATGGGCCTGCTTTAGATTAAATCCACTGGTTTTTGACAGGCAATGGAAAACCAGGTTAGAGAGACAGTAATCATAGATAAAAATCAAATGGTCAATATCTTGGGATTGAAAGGTACTAAGACACTAACATTGATAACATCACCTGCTCCTAAACGTAGTTTTAGAGATTATTTTAAAGATCTAGACTAAATTCTGTCTTTTTATCAATTTCTACTCCTCTCTTTTTCTTAGTTTTTGTTTAACCAGCTTTCTTTAGAAAAAATTTCCCTTCTTATTCAGTTCAGACCATCTTAAATACAAACGGTCCATAGGATTATATGCAAATGCTGAATGTCTGGTTGAAAAGTATGTTTGATACCTTTACATACCACAATAAATTAATCTTACGAACCAATGAAGTTCATTTTCTAGAAGCCTATTGGCAATGCTACGTTAGCATAAACTGTCATACACAGATCGCAATATATAAATTACAATTTTTGATTTTCCATTTTTTTACCAATACTTTTTTTACCACTACCACACTACGAAAAGTTCCCCTTAACCCAACCTAAATGAGCTCACCGAACAAGGCAGTACAGTAAAACAAATTTCACACTCCTCAGTTCCAGAGATAGGCTTTTTTGGTACCTGGAAAACCAAATGTTATTAATCTAACGTACGAAATCTCACTTTCGTTATACTTTAATAATACTAATATTTAATTTCCTAAAGGGATTTACTACATGAGCTTCGGAAAATAGCTGATCCTGATCGCCATCATAAAATCGTTCCATTAACTTCTCCTTGTCCCATTTAAAGTGGTTTAACAGTATTCTAGTAGTTGTAGTCGGAATCTAAAGACAAAATTATTAAAATAATATGCCAAACACTGTGTACTTCATTGTGCAATGGGTGACACCGAAACGCACCTCAACGACCGAATTAACTTCTTTAATACAGTCAACCATATGCTGGACAATCTGCTCCGTCGACAGAACTTCGAAAGGGTACTCATCGGAGTCGGTTTGTTTCTCTCTATGTCCCGAAACCTCAACTTCCATAGCGAAATCTACATCATCTCCGCTAGACTCATTTCCCGAATCAACATCATCGTATGTCTCCTCTTCAGCATCCATATCTAACAAAAAAAGAACAATTTAATACAAATTTTTAATGTTAATTTCGATTATTGTGTACTTTTTTAGGTTGTAATTATAGAAATGCATATGAATCTAACATAATATACAGAGTGTCACAAAAGTGACGTCAGAGGTATTTGTCTAGGTATGGACAAAAGAAATTTGTTAAAATCCAATTCTTGCAAGAAAACATTTGTTGACATTATTTTTTAGTATCAAAAATATATATGTCTTTGGCATGTTCACGTTACTTTCACCCCATTGTACCCGAATCCAGACAGAATCCTACAATATGGTGGTTTGTGCACGTGATTCCTGCGCTGAATTATATTCATGGATTATTGTTTCTTTGTTTTAATCAATTTATTAGGAAGGAAATGACCTCTTCCGGTTGAGGCATAGATCAAGCAAGCTTACTTAGTCTACAAGCAGACCAGTGGTAGTTTCTTCTGTCTCATCACTCAAACCCATTCCTGATTCTAAATGTCTCTATGTTGGGGGTGGTTCTCTCCAGAGAACTGTCATTCTTATGCTCTACAATATCGTTACTTTATACTACTGCACAACTCCTAGATTTGTCTCTGTATGTGGTAGATGACCAATCTTCCGGATTCCCCTAAACCTTTGACCAAGGTTCTTAAAATAAAACAAGATCTATATCTGCGCTATGTCAACTTCCTAGAGATATATTTTTTGGATATTTTAACCAAAAGGCTCCGTCCGTCTCTGACTGCCTCCAATGACTGCTTTATAAACCCGAACTCAAGCAATTATATTGGATGTTTGACTGGCATTGGCATACCATAAGAACATTCACCCAGGTAGCTCTCCTATCCGCCCCTGGGAAACGCGCCTCGTACAGGGAGTTCATCCCTCAAGAATCAAATCATAGGTACTCAGTTTCCTTTCAAAAGTGTTCTAATAATGCCATAGTCTAAAACCGTCAATTTCTGCTAGGCACAATGCAAATTTAGCAAAATATTTATGAGGTTTTTTCTTCAAGATTTCGCCCTACCGAGATTCCCACGTTGAGCGCGAGCGCGACAAGTGGGCGCCCTGTAATCTGTAATACGAAACAAAGCTGAACGTGCAAAATATCATTGAATAAAAACACTATATTCAATGAAAATATGCATTGCAAGCTAGACGCTTACCCAATTCAAATTTTTTTTACAAAAGTGTAATATTGCATTACGTTTCTAACACGTGTTGCTAATAATGAATCTATCTATTATAATTTTTTTGCACGTCGATCAGCTTTACATATACAGCGGGGTTTTTTAGCATAGGTATACCTGCAAACAGCTAATGTTTTTATTACATGAAATCTTTCTATAATAATGCAAATATTTATTACGCACAGACTCCAGAAAATTTGTTTAATATATTTTAGTCTTTAGTTAAAGTAATAAACAAAGCATTCCGTAAATCTGAAAAGGTCTGGTTATTGCGGAAATGGCAAAATTCAATACACAAACGAAAATGTATAGGTATACAGGGTGCACTGTGAAAACATCTGTACAAAACGTGTGCTGTAGAAAGCAATGGTGGCGATTGACATGCGCGATAATGAGATATTTTTAGCTTTGCCGACGTCATCTTATATTTTTACATTGGCGTAGGTTTTCAATTAGTAAAATCTGTATACCGGATGATCGAAAAAAAGGACACGATATGTTAATTAAACCTAGGTTCCGATGGTATCAATTTAGGTTAACTGAATTAAGCAAACAAGTCGTTTTTCAAGCATTTCATTTGAAAGCATGCACTCGAGAATATCGGGCGACGGAACTATTTTTGTAGGCCTTACGGAGTGTTTACATAAGGTCGAGAATCGCGCTGAGCGTATAAAAAATTCGACTTTACGGTATCTCTTTGTTGCTCGCTTTAATGGGGTCTGAGCCGTTTATTACGTAATTTTGAGCAGAGAATCTGTTCGATTGGGTGATACTCGTACTAATGGGTTATCAGTTTTAAGTATTAATGGATAGGTATTGCAATATATCCTTGAAATGCTTGTCACTAGAAAGACCTTGGAACCGAATATAGCCTCTGCTTAGGTACCGATACGTCACCGATTTGATGTCGTCAGAGTGAGGTAATGCCAAAACCGGTTGTAAGATTGGCGGATTTGCTGGATAGGCGGCCATTTTCTAAGGTTAAAGTAAAAATGTAAATCGGGACTTTATTAGTGTTGCCTGGGAACGAGGCTATCAAACCATTTTCTATCCTGGTTTCGGAGTGTAGTAGCCTCTAGTGAATAAACTACGAAACGAATACTAACGTACTATTTACTAAAATTTAATCAGAACAATGTAGTTATTAAATTTATTGAAAGTTTAATTAGAAGTAAAGTGAAGTTTAATTTATATTTCATGTATTGGTGATCCGGCACGTCGAGAACAACATAAGTGTTTTCTTCGACATCGTTATGGCCGCTAAAATTTAACTAGACAGAATATAACCCGCCTTAACCTCATTCCACAACTTGTAAACAATTTGTGCTGAATTAAAAATCAAAATGTAAGCAATGCATACCACTTCAGTATTATATTATTTGTTGTTCTTAATCACCAAAACTGCCAGGATGAATAACCCTTCTCAAATGGAGTGAAGAGTACAACAAAAATAATTTTTTGCTGTATTTCAGAGGACGGACACAAACATGAAGTCTACTGTTAAACTTGAACGGCACGATGAAGCCGAGATTCAAGAGTTAGCGGCAAAGATGATCGAGGCTAACAGGATGAAAATGTCTGTCCCAGCAAGACCTCCGGCGCCTACATCAACAGTGTCGGGTATGAATATTTTAAGTTTTATATCCCGTAATAAAGGCAAGAATGATATTGTAGTCACTCCTGTTGGGAATGATACATCGAAAAGTCTCGGCGACGAGGAATCCATTCGGGGACGCTTCGGATGGGTGGAACTAGGAAAGAATCCCATTCCATACATAATCAGGTCAGGAGAGAAATATTGTGCCGTAAGAATGGTAGAAGTAAAAGTTCTTAATAAATATTTAAATTTTTTGCACCAAGACATTTATAACTGTACGTGTATTCGTAGTTACTACATTACGGAGGCGGAATGTCGGCTACTAAACGAAATAAACTTCAAACATTGTGACTATCAGTTCGGTCGTGAACAGTATACGTCGCGCGATCTAATCGTTAGGCTAGCGGACGCGATCGAATTTTATAAATTCTTAGATTCGTGTTATTCGAAGCTTTTAAATGGAAGTGCAAATCCGCTCGACAGGTGTGGATTTATCCGCATAAATAAAGAGTCGGTGGTTCCCTACACGGTTTACTCAGGACACAAATACGTTCCTTTATTTTATTTTGAAGGCGAAACAGACACTTTGAAATTAAAAGCCGATACCTTAGAAGGCTGGGACTTGTCTTATTTAAAATTCTGTTGTAAAGTGCAAGGAATACGAAACGAACTCTTTTGTCACGACTCCTGTGCGGTCATCAGTTTAGCGGATATCAAAAATTACTTTCCACCCGGGACGTTATTCGAAGACTACTGGCCTAGCAAATTATCCGATTCCCAATTATTGATCAATGGGAAAACGCCGAGTCAAGGGGGCCAATGGATTCGGCAACCGGCCGGTCCACCCATTGCTCACGCTCTACCTCCGCCATCTCCGAAACCGGCAACGCAAGCGAAGGCCGCCACCAACAATATCCACAATGTACAATCGCTGTATACGACATACGGCTTAACCGGCGGACAACCAGCCTACACTGCCTTACAACCTCGAACGGCCCAGTCTGCAGTGAGGCCCTCGTATCCATCTACGGCCGCCACATCGAGACAACCGCGACCGCCGTACTACAATAGCATGAACCAACCGCCACCACCACTAATCAGATCGTCCCAACAGTGAGTACATTTTCCATTGCTATTATCTCTCTCACGTCATGTACACATACTATTTCGATTTAGTAGATTTCAGCAATCGAAGGGCTGGACCGGATGCTGAGTTTAAAAAAAAAAAGACGTCTAGAGAAGTAAATAATTTAAAAAAAATCTTCAAAACCATCAGGGAGATAGCTCCATTAATATGAAACACAAACACCAAGAAACTACATCAGCGAACAACTTCTTTCACCTTTTAAAATTACTAAACTTGTTCTTGCATGATATATCATCTGGGTTGCCATTTTTGTGACATTTTTGTTTAAACTAAAAGCAACCATATAACTGCATATAGACATGTCAGTAAGTACGAAGTTCTGTTGTCAGGGTTGTGACTTTTGTTTGTTCCATTGGTTACATTTACAAAGTTCAGAAGAAGAAGAATTCTGCTGCTCTTACATTATAATCACCTGTTCTTAGGGCGTCAGTGAAACATCAATTCTGTTTGACGTGTTGTATTCAATGAAGCACAATGTACTCTATATATGATAATGCAAACGGTATAGATCAGTACCATAAATCACATTGGGAGAACCTCTCATTTCCTAGAAGTACACTACTAGTACTAGGACTCGGTTGGCATTTGTTTTGTCAACATTATTAGGTTTTCCTGCAGTTTTCCCGAGGGGGTAACATCTTCCCGCAATACTGTCACAAATTGTCTGCAATCGCTTGTAATCCCTCCGATTGCTGTGGCAATCTCCCTCACAGTCCCACAATCGCGTTTGCAATCTCACAATCGCCTAAAACAATCCCGCAATCAAATTCGCAATCGTGACAATCTGACAATCACATTGGCAACCCTCATCTGTTTTTAGGTACAATCACATGCCACGTGGAGTTAGGCAAAAAAGTTATTAGATCTAACTTTATTTTTTTAAATGGAAAGCCCTGTACTACGTAATAAACCCCTAAAGCGGATCTAAAAAAGCGGCACAGCACCTCAGAGTAACCCTACGCATCATTGGATTTGACTCATTTTCAATTGCCTTGTTACATGTGGTATGTATGTGTATGTGTGAAAAGTTTGAACCGAATAGGTTCAAGCGTTCGGCACAGACAAAGAGGCGTGACCCCACTGAGTCATTGGATTTGACCCATTTGCAATAGGCTTATTACCTGTGGCATGAACCATATCGGTCCAAGCGTTTGGCAGTTATGGTGTTCACGGACAGACAGACGGACACCATCAACTTCCCTATAAAGCTTACATCGCTTTCCTCTGCCGCTTAATAATCTACAAATATAGCATATTAACTTTTAAAAAATATAATACACTAAGGATGATTCAGAAAGGGCTCAAAAAAGATTAATAAAAAAGATCAAACGATTTGATAAATACAATAAAATTTCAAAAAAAATTTTGAATTTTTCGGTTTTTTAAATCTCTTGAATCTATTGAAATCAATATGGAATTTTTGTAGTGTTATATTTTTGAAAGGAGATTCTTAATATGTTAGTTTTTGTTTAATATATTTCAATTTAAACATGGACGTAGGAAATTCAAAAATTGTAAATCTCAGAATGAACCTATATTTATTAAAGGAAATATAGAAAGATTTTTCTTACAAGTTTCTTTATAAGACTGTTGAAGAATCTGCTGTTTTAAAATAAGTGTACGGGATCAGGTAAAAAAGTTATAGGACCAAACGTCATTTTTTTTAGTGGAATGCTCTGTAGATTTCATTCGAAAAAGAGCATATTAAATTCACTTTCTAGAAATATCACACTAAAGAAATTTAAAAAGTGCAATATTAGATTTTTCAAAAAATTAAAAAATTTCAAAATGTTTAATTTTTTGTTGTTTTTTAATATTTGAACCTTTCTTAAATGTTTTAATTTCGTTTTAATAATTTTGAAGTTTTTGTTTTCCCTATCTATTGCGATTGCATTATATATTAAAAAAGAAAATGTTAATGTGCTATCTTTTTAGATTAAGACATACAGGGTGTTCTATTTAAGAAATGAGGTTAAGTCCAGTAACTTTTTTGCGGACATCGTATATGTAACCTATTTTGAAAACGGCAGATTACCCAGCAAGTCATTTTGTAATAAACAATTTTTCGTGTCTCTTTTCATTCTAATATTGACAATTTTTGATTTTCCCTTGTATCTCTTTAAGCGAACGAATGTTTTCAAATTTTGATTGTGCCATTTTTTAACATTGACCCAAAAAGAGCACATGCCACTTAGTTTGTCTTTCGGTATCTGTGATTTGAGTGGGCCACCCCCCTATTAGATTTATCGGATTGTATAGAACTTGTTCCATTGAAATACCTTCTTTTTAGCACAATTCCACAAAATTAAAAAAAATTTACTATTGTGACCACTTTGCCCATCCGTCCCTAGTTTTTCTACTTTTTTCGCTATTTGGTTCGCTATGCTGTCAAGGTTTGCACCAAGAAAGGAAATTTTTTCTGTGCCGCTTACGAAAATAGTTATGGTAAAAAACCCATTTTTTTTAGATTGTATTGTTTTGCTGTCTGTCTGTATGCCCGTCTGTCAGTGTATCTGTCTGTCTGTTTTTCCGTCCGTGTGCACGATAGCTTTTGTATTTACGCAATCCATTTTTTTATTTGTTAAATACTTAAATGAAACTTTGTATGTAGGTTGTAGATATAGATGGCGACCTCGACTAAAGTAAAACTAGTGCCGAGTCAAAAAATATGTTGGGCTCATGCGCAATCGGATTTTTTTTATTCGTTAAGTTATCTAAATGAAATTTTGTATGTAGGCATCTCGAATAAAGATGAAACTAATGCCAAATCAAATAATTTGTTTTGCGCATGCCCAGAAATATCCTGAAATTTTAGGGTAGGGTTCTTTTTATAAACTGCAATTGAAGCAGCAAGTCAAAAATGGATTGCGAAATTTTAAGCTTGCATCTTACAGTATGGGAAATGAATGCAATTGTAATGCGCCGAGTAATGCGCTTTTTATAAATCGTTTACGACGAGGTTTACGATTACCTTTTTAACTTCTTATTTGTGTATTTAAAAGTACCTGTTACCAACTAATTGCCAACATAAATGAATATATTTCTTGCTTAGGTAAATCTTTGTCAGTCACCTGCAATCATTTACAATTGTCTGCAATCATTCATAATCACATGCAGTCACAATGCAATCCTCTAAAATCTGACAATCGTAGGGAAATCATGGGGATTGTCGCAAAATTTGAGAAGATGTTATCCCCTCGAGTTTTCCTAATTCGTAAGGTAAATACCGGAATAGTATAAACCAACTTAAGATCTTCTGCAGAGGCACCTCTAAATAGCATTATGCTGGTCACTCTGTAATTGGGCGCAAGCCTGTTGAGGGCCAAGAACAAGAGAGGCGAAATAAATAAATAAATTATAAAATAGAAAGCGTATGATTTGGTTGTACAGATTCTGTGTAATAGGTACAAAAACAGTTTGCCCTGTGATTGTGTTTGATGCTCAGCTGTACATACAAGTTTATAAAATTCCAGGTGATTCATTTATCTTGAGACGATTTAATATCTTGATGGAATCATCTTTTACATTTCATACAAAGTTTATACAATTCCAAGGGGGTTAATCGTGGGGGGACGTGGGAAATTTTACTATTGGTCTGTTTCTTATTCATCAATTGCTTTGATCTATGTATTCTATGCTATTCAGAGCCTGTTCCTCTCGATAAAGGATAGGACCCTGTTTATCTTAAGTTGCTTCACCCTCCCCGGTTCCAGATAGCTGTCTCCAAGGCGTCACAGTGACAGACCACGTATTTAGTAATTTTGTCTGCCTCGCCACAGAACCCGCACGCCGGCTCCTCCACAAGCCCAATGTTATGCAGGTGATGGTTAACCATCCAGTTCCTCATAAGGACACCGGTGATCTTCCTAATCTGGCTATTCACTTTTAGAAACTTAGAAGACCTCGATTTGTCAAGAGAGCCTGGACTGCCTCCGGTTACTTGTTGTCACTGAGCCGGGAATTGGTTGGCCACTCAGTCTTTAATCCTGGCCCTGAAAACGGAGGGAGCAAATCCTAGGGTAGGCTCGGACCTGATGAAAACCCCGGACGACCATTAAACAGGGTTCGCAAATGGTCTCTTTTTTAGACATTAGTCTCTTTTTTCAATGCTGGTCTCTAAAAGTCTCTATTTTTCGTATTTGGTCTCTAAAGTCTCTAAATTTTGCATGTTAAAAAAGTATAATTCATAATTGACAAACCGCAGAAATTTTACTGTACATTTTTAGGGCATTTTTTAAGAATTTAAAAAAATGTGCTATTGTTTGCGTTTTGTCCGTCCGGACCCACTTCTGCCGTTTCGAAATACTTCTAGGATAATGGTATATACCTTGAAGGTGTGTCAGACGGCCATCAAATTTCGCTGTCTAAAAGGGTGCCCCCCCCCCCCAGGAATTATTTCCCGAGATGCTGTTTTTGAAAGTAAAACGTGCATAACTTTTATGTACATACGACAACCAATTGGTGGGGGGAGTTTAACATTAATTATTTTATCTTTCATTGTATTATAATTAAAGTCTCAACGAAAGGAACCGCTTTCTACCAACTACTGCCCTTCTTTCTGTCCTCTTATCAAAGTACGGGGGGAGGGGAAGAGGGGGGGGTGCACCTAGTTTCCTTCATGATACTCTAATGAAAGGTTTCAACGAAAGGAATTAATTTCTACCAATCACAGCCCTCCTCCTCCTCGACCTATTCCCTTATACCTCAAGAACGGATTGTCTGAAGAGAAATATATCCATTGGTGATGTCAAAAAAAAGCTATTTGGGTAAAAAAATGCGCTTTATCCGCACAAGAGTTGTGCACAATTTATACTTGTTTAGATATATTGCCGTTTATGTAATCTATTACAAAATAAATATTTTTTGCTTAATTTTGTATGGAAATTGGTTCTCGAATGTCTCTAAATGGTCTCTATTTTTAATTAAATATGTAAATAGAGACCAAGTCTCTATTTTTTGGCTAATA